TACTGTATTGTTGTTATGTTTTTCTTCCTTTCTGTTCAACTTTGAGGTACAATATTAATATCGGCTGTTCATTATCATACGATTCTTAATCTCTACGTGATCATATTGAAAATAATATTAGCATTATAAATCATTCAGATTTACAACAACCCGAAAAGGAAACATAGTAGGTAAATCGGATGCGTATGAAAATACTAATATAAACCTTATCAGCAACAGAAATAAACAACCCATTCCCTTTCTCAATAAATTCATGAATTCAACACGGCAATATATAATGTTTCTTTTGTCGCCAAAAACAAATGATATGATTATGAGTATGGTGGATGATACCCCCACAATCACACACTAATATTTTGTAAACAATGTGGTTTATAGCACTCCCCTCTCCTGACAACAACAATAAGAAAACAAAATTTAGATCAGATTACAAGAATTGCCTTGAAACACAATTTATTTTTTTCAGAAAATCCAATATGGCAGATGCTATGGCAAATTCCATCGACGTTGAATAAAATATAATTGTTTCTCAGATCTCAACAAACAGATTGCAGTCAATATCGAATAATAGTTATTTATTATACAAGGGAAAAAAGTAGTTGATTTTAGCTCCAGGTTGTGACCGTGAGCTAAAATCTAATATTTTTCCCGTGAATAATACACTATTTTTTGCTGTGACAGAAGGACGAATCAATATTGAGAAGATATTACATTATTTTGAAATTTGAAAATTATCGACGTGAAATTTTTAAGTTTTTAACAGTAGGGACACCTGCGTTGTAGGCATCTTCATCATTCTTTTGAAATAATCAAATATCTGATGTCACTTCTGTCGGTCTAATTCTGTGATTTGATTTCAAAAAATTTGCGAATTTAGTGGTTGTTTAGTGATATACGTAACCGCGAAGTCGAATGGAAGATAAAAGGACTTGCAGTTCTTTCTCGGAGACGGTATTATTGACTCATTTTTCGGAACTATAGTACAACAAAAGCCATCAACAGTGTATATATATGTGATATATATTCGGGAAAAAAGAACTCACTATTTCCCACGGGAAAAAAGTAATTTATGAAAAGTGACATTTTATAACCTGCCAACAGAGATGAAAAGCCAAACTTTTTTCCCGTCACATAAAAAATATTTTTGTAGAATTATCTATACACTAAAAATACTAGAGGAAAAATCAGAAAAGACGTTTTTAAACATTACATTATTTTGTTGTTGTATCGCACTCTTTCCCAGAAGGCAGTAGATGCCTTTTAATTTTTAGTGCTCGTCCAAATTACTCATGGAGTGATAAAAATCATTAACTGTGAAGTATGAACATTAACTGACATAAAAATTGGAGGGAGCATAGTCATTCAGCTGAAATCCCACGGCAGCTTTTGATAACGTTAATAAATCGTTTTTATAGAGATAGATACTTACACGTTTGCGTAAACAAGATAATGGCAGATTAGAAGACCGAAAATTAATAATTCACCTCCAATGCCGCATAAACAAGAGCTTCCATCTATAGTCCTTGGATTACTCATTATTATCGGGATTATTAAAAAAAATAAAAAACTACTGGGCCGTTCACATTTCTACAAAGATTTTGCCACATAAACAAGAGCTTCCATCAACAGTCCTTCGATTACTCATTATTATCGGAATTATTAATAGTATATTATGTAACAAGGGTTATAAAAGTCCTTTTAGTAACGAGTAGTTTAAGCACGAGCGGAGCAGATCGGAGCGAGTGTTTAATAAACGAGTGTCTAGAAGAGTTTATAAACGCGTTACATACTATGATTTTTCTACGAACTCCGAAAATTACATTAACATACCTGCAATTCCTGCTAACCTACAAAATAATTCGAAAGGAATGGGAATTGAGAACATAATACATGCAACTTCATGCAACCAGGCGAGACACGTATAAGTGATATTGGTTCTAGATGTGTCCTCCATTGCTTAATAACCTTTGTTTCACGTTTATTGTCATGCTGAGCGCAGAATAAATAAATTGTTCTCAAAGATGGATGCTTCATTTTTACACTTCTTGGAGATATGCATCAAGTACCAGAACATTCTCTTCGATTTCACTTTCGTCTACTTTTCGCATATATTTTTAATGAAGAATTCTGATACAAACGAATATTGTTTGAATAATTCTGATACGAAATTTGAAAATAACAGTTGACAGTTGATACAATTGACAGGCTAGACATGTCTCAAATTACAGCTGTGTTTAATGAACTGTGTTGCCATGGTAATGTGTTTAAGAAATCGTGTTGCCATGGTAACGTGTTTAATATTTCGTATAAATCACAGATCGTCAATTCGGGATTAATCGATCATTTAGCGTGGTACATATCCGTACGCTAAATGCCATTTTAGTTATGTGAGTAGAAAAAAATATAAAAAACCACTGGGCCTTCACCTTTCTACAAAGATTTCGACTATAAAGATGAGGTAGACCAGGTAGGGACTTGAAATGAAACAAGTTCACTATTATAGTTTAGGAAAACATATTTCGGAAAAATTCTTGCTAATCGATAATATGTTCGTGGGGTGCATCTCACAATAAAAAAATACTCCTACAACAAGGGGGATACGTCACCTTAGTACCTCACCTAATTTTCTTCAAATGGTATGAGTCCAATAGTAGACTACTGAACTAGTATTGAATTTTCACATTCAACAATTACACTGTGATTTCACAGAGCTCAAAATATGTTTTATGTCATGATATTGTCGAGAAAAGTGATACATAACTGTTTCGGTCCACCAGGCCTCTTCAGTCGTTTTCGGTCTGCTTGTAACTAGGAGATTTTGGATATTGCACACGTTGCATTAATTACTATGCCAATAGCTGTTGGGGTTTTCTAATCTGCAATCGATTGCCGGTCGTGGGTTCAATTCCCACGACTGCAGAAATGTTTTCTGATGGCCCAAGAAAGTGTTTGGGATCACACGTTAAAAGGTAAGGCCCTGGCGAGGGGTAAATCTCCAGGAAAAATGTGTACACCAGACTTCCAATGACCAAAGACTTCCAAAGACTTCCAAAGACTCCCAAAGACTTCGAAAGACTTTCAAAGACATCCAAAGACATCCAAAGACTTCCAAAGACATCCAAAAAGATCCAAAGACTTCCAAAGAATTCCAAAGACTTCCAACGGAGTGTACACCAGACTTCCAAGAAGATTTACCCCTCGGGCCCTGGTCATTCCTTGCTCGCACAAGTCTCTCGAAGACTTCTGAGGGTTGCTCGTAAGGGGGCAACCGAATGACGAATAGAACAATTTTAGAATTTTAGAACAAAAATAATTGATTCATTTGCACTTCTGAATTCAATTAGTAGTTTTAGCAATCCAGTTGATGTTCACTGGTATCCAACAGATATGATAAGCAATAATCAATGAGTATGCTCTGAAGTAATTTATAATAATAATAATAATAATAATAATAATAATAATGATTTTATTGATTTCAATTGAAATATTTCGGATTATTAGTTCCGCACATGACCTTTAGCGATGGCGATAATAAAAAAATCCGTCTTCTGACGTACGATTCGGATTGGGTCGGATATTTTCGCGCTTCCAAAAGGATACAATCATGAATATTCAAAGACAACAAGGTTATCCGACGTCGGTGAAAGTTGAAAATGTTCGTACTAAAAAGTTCAAGCACAGTCATCAGTACTATTTGATCAATAGGAAAATTTTTAATTTGACAGGTAGCTTTCATTCTAGCATAGAGTGGTTGAAGAAAAACTGAATTTTTCTTTTCGTTTTCGTTACACTGATTGGTTTGTGCTCCTCAGTGTTAGACACTCATACCTGTCAATAATAGTTATTTGTTTAACTAGGCAGCAAAGTAGTAGATTGACTGCCGAGGCTGAATTCATAGCCGAGCGCAGCGATAGAAATCGCAGTTGTCCATGATAATTATAGTTTGACAATTCATGAAAATTCTGACAGTTGTGCGAAAAAATATCGGTATATTTAAATTATTATATAATGGACAGTGATAGCGACCTGGAAGTACTTACACCTCCAGAAATAAGGGAGGTGGCAAACAATATAGAGTTGAATTTGTTGCCGGAGAAGTCTCGAATGAAATATGAAGGAAATTATAAACGATTTATGGATTATTAATTTTGCTGATACATATCAATCAGCAAAGGAACCACTTTGCTGCCTAGGCAGGAAAAGTAATACTTTGCTGATTGATATGTGTCAGCAAAATTAATATTTGCTGCCAATCGGAGAAAAAAGCCTTTTCCGTCGACCTCGTATTAATGAGTAAGTTTAATGTTTATGAAATCGTTCATTAATGACCCCTATTAATGATCAATTTGTCTATTAATGCACGATTGTTTTATAGGCAACCAAACATAAACCGCGTGCATTCATTGTTTATGCTATAACTTACGAAATCTGCATTTAAATCGAAAATATGGACATCATCGAAGATCTTCTGTTAACGGGTTCGCCTTTCCAAGTTTCTGAAACGATTTTAATCCCTGTTTTCTAACACAAGGAATTTATTTTCTATGTTGATCATTTCGACAAATGTCAAATGTCACTAATGTCAGTGACAAGGCTACTGGGTGATTCTTAGTAGTATCCGGATCAATGATGAATTCGCGAACCAAGTTGTCCTCATTGAAGGAGAAATGAGAAATATAGTAACCACCTCGTATATTAAAAGACGATTAATGATCTCGATCATTCATCGCCCTCATCAATACACTAGTTGGTTAAATAACTATTATTATTATTATTTCATGGAGAATATTATGGGTTCCAACGAACCATAGTTTCGATCTAGATGTCGAAAGTCTAACATGAAAAACAACTGAATCACGCCCTGGCTAATAATGTCGTTGTCGCCCCGGTAGATTTAGTCACGAAGTCACGCCAATACCGCAGATTATCCAATATCAACCACTAGAGAACAATGCGGAAGGTAGGAGAGGGCCGCGTGGCTCGAATTCCAATGAAAATCAGTCGATCATACGCACGCAGCAGACATGGATGTCGATAAAGCCGCTATCATCGGTGCCGCCGACTAGACGTAGACGCACCACCATGTCCGAAACAACGCCGTGTCCATCGTACCAACGTACGACTTCCAACGAAAAACGTCACCACAAATGTCTCTGGAGTACTTAGGCGCTCCGATATAAACACACCGCCCCCGACCAGTGAATTGCAAAGTCGAAAAACCCAGCCTGGCCCATGGAAGCGACCTCAGGCCAATCGCCGCACTGTGACTACTGCGGCACCACCGCCTGGCTGTTCCTCAGCATCGTCTCAGCAGCCGGCACCATACTAGGCAACGTGCTCACCGTCTCCGCGATCTTGCTCAGCAAAAAACTGTCGTCCGTCGTAGCCAACTACTTCGTATTCAGTTTGGCAGTGAGCGACCTGATGGTGGGCTGCTCCATTCCCTACCACATGCTGTTCTACCTGCTGGACGACTTCGGGCGGTCCAGGATGAAGTGCCTGCTGCGATTCGTCTTCACCTCTTTCGCCTGCTCGAGCTCCATCTGCAATCTGCTGTTCATCGCCATGGACAGGTACATAGCGATAGTGTATCCCTTGCACTACACCAGGTACATGACGAAGAAAGCGGCGTTTTTCCTGATAGCTTTGGGTTGGCTGATCTCCTTCTCCACGGCATCGATTCCGGTTTTTTGGAACGAATGGCACGAGGGTGTCACTTGCGAGCTGGTGAACGTTTATCCCAGTAACTATATAAAGATGATAGTGGTGCCTATGTTCGTGTTGATTTGGGTGACCATGTTGCTCTTGTATTCGAGGATATGCAAGGAGGCTTCGGGTCAACAGAGGAGGATTATGGGCTCTGCTACTGTCAATCCGCATTCGAGGTCTTTCAGGGACTCCAAGTCTTTTCAGGTGGGCATTTTGTCGACCAGTTCGAATTAAAGCGATTTATTCTACTTTTAAAACACTCATTCCATTGCGAGAGTGTCGGTTTCACTTATTACGAAAATTAGTTCATTCCTCGCCAGTCACATACTCCAATTGTGGAGAAGATTCGAAGTTCGAAACCAACTAACCAGAAGTCGAAACTCGTCATACTTTGAGCCTTCACCAAATGAATAGAATTGTACCCGCTATGAAGATAGCAACAATGGTACATCTTGGAATAAACGACCTGTATATTTCAGTATTAAATGCCAGTCCTGATTGATTGAAAAGTAGGGTTTTATGAGCACTGTGAGAAATATTTTGAATTTATATCTTGAAAATAGGACAATCAATACAAAATCAACCAACTCTGTGTCAAATAAACTATTAATCAATAAGGGTGTCCCACAAGGCTCTGTTTTATGACCTATACTATATTCACTGTATGTTCAAAATATCAGTGAAATTGGTCTAGCGAGTGAATATACCATGTATGCAGATAATACAGTACTTTTATATGAAGGCAAGAATCCTTCAAATTTTGAAAATATGATAAATGAAGACTTGAAAATATTTGAAAAATGGCTCCACTCTAACCTTTTATCGATAAATACAAACAAAACAGAACATATGATTTCTCACCAAAAAAATAAACAAAACAAAAATTTACCTTAACCTTAAAATAAAAAATGAACTTTTAAAACAAACTGACCAGATAAAATATCTTGGTATTTGGATTGAAAAAATATCTCCAATTATTGGTGCATTGAGAAGATGTCCCAAGCTTGATATTAAAATTGCAAAAAAAAGGATTCTCTACTCTCATATACTGAGTCGTATCAACTATTTAATAAATGTTTGAGGCTCTTGTTCAAAAAATAATTTCAATAAAACATCAACATTATAAATATAGAAAATCGTTAAAAGTATTGTATCGTCTCCCATTTGATACGCCAACCAATCAATTGTATGAAATAACAAATAATACCTATTCTTCAAATGAAATATATAGAATTGAAACTCTCAAAATATCATATAATATCATAAATAAAAAATTGAAGTCAATATTATTTTGATACGGAATTCTGAAATTCATAATCATGAAACTAGACAATATTATAACTTGTTTCATCTTGACGCCGCTAGCTCCATAATCGGACAGAAAAGATTCACTCATTCAGCCTTAACTGAATTCAATTAGCTACCTGGCAATATAAAAAATTGCAGAAATATAGGTACATTCACAAATGAAATAAAAAAACTGATTAGTTCTGAGCGAACATGGCACCACCATCTCCACCAAGCCCACCATATCTATGCTCGGTATTTCCATCAGCAACACTCTTTCATGGGATAATCATGTCAGATCCATCGCAAAAGCTGCTTCACAAAAACTCGGATTCTTGTTCCGTGCAAAAAGCTACTTTACACCTCAACAGCTTCTCATGATCTACAAAGCGCAGATACGGCATGTTCTAGAATACTGTTCCAACATATGGGGTTCAGCACCAAAACATACGCTGATGCTCTTAGATTCTATCCAGAGAAGAGCCATCCGCCTGGTGGGTGACGCCACACTCACTCACTCTCTGACATCATTGGAACACCGTCGGCGACCTTTCACTTTTCTATCGATACTTTCACGGAAAATGTGCTTCGGAAATCTCTGCTATCATCCCTTCACTACCATATGATGTCTATAAAAGATTTCAACCACCTCGGCGAAAAAAAAAATCCCTTCACTAGCAATACCAGTCAGACGAACTAGACAAGCCCAGTCAGCACATCCATTCGTTGTCAAACTCGAAAGATGTCGAACAGCACTTTATCAAAACTACTTCATCCATAGAACGGCTAGGCTCTGGAATTCATTGCCTGAGGAAGTATTCCCAACAACATATAATCATTATAATCTCCAGAAGTTCAAAAAAAATTCCAATACCTACCTCCTATCCCTATCCTCCCTAGGAACGCACGATGTTCTTTGAACATTATAGGGATTCCCTTTCGTGTGCTCCAAGCGATAAAAAAAATCCATTTTTTTCACAAATATTATTCTTTGTTTGCCAATTTACAGTTGTTGATATATTTTGAATGATAATATGTTTACCTGTAGGTATATAATTATGTACTTCCTTATACCAGAGCCTATTCTGTCTGGAAGTTATTTGTTAAATAAATAAATAAATAAATAAATAATTAAATAAATATCTTTGATCAACAATGCTATTTATCCGGATGATCGCTGATTTCAAATAAATATTGTGATACATAATATGTTCAACAATAATTTATGATGTGATGATTTCAACGCACTTCTGGAAAGAAATAATATTTAATCGTCCGCAGAAAGCTCTGTGATAATTGATAGCGGTTAATTGATGATACCGAAAGTATGGAAATTCTATATAACAATCCCATTATTTTTCATTACTAGGTACGTGATATAATCGAAAGTAAAGTTGGATAACAAAAAAGATAGATAATTATTACCAACTGTTAGAAAATGTCAGAAAATATTTTTGACACATACACAAAACATTAGGCTTAGGGAATCGTAAATTATTACAATGTTAGCTGGAATGACATTCGAGTTCTTAATTTCAATATATTTTGTGCTTGAATATCGACAGCTGTCGAAAATAATGTTATATGCCACAAATGCTCTGTCCAACAATTCCAAAGATGCCACGAAGGTGTCACATTACCTCCAGATACATATTATAATAAGTAATTTTCACCGATCAAGGTATAATAAAAATCTTATTGCACTAGCATAATAAACAATAACTCTTTGCAATCACATTTTAAGAATAAAGGTCAACTTTCTGGGTGATCTTGGAAAAAATTCTTGCATTTTTTCCTGATTCAACTGCTTTTTGTTGGTTCATTTGAAATCTATACGTAGACATCATGTACCTTATTCAACTATTCTAGGATACTGAAAATAAGGAATGAAAGATAATACAAAAGCATATCTATTGATTCTTAATTTAATTATACTGGGCGTTTCTGAAATCGGAGCGATAAAGACAATGGGGTGTTGTATAAGGAATAATGACACAATACATTGGTATTTCTGGTGCTTCTTCAGTTGTTAACCTCTAATAAATGAATTATAAAAGCCCAGATGGACTTTGAAATTCAATATCTGCCGCAATATTTTTTTTTCGACCGAAATTCACTTCAATTTCGACTTGTTATCCGTCTTTTATTATTATATTACTATAATAGCATATAGATGACGAATTTGGCAAGAAAAGGGAATGTTCATGAACTTAATTCCTGACCTGGAGAACTACCAAAAATTCTGACACATTTATTTTCGAAAAGATCAATCAGTCAAATGAGTATTCATGAGAATAGACATTCAGGCAGATATCTTAGTAAGAGCGCATGTAAAAGAAATGAATATTAATCGAGGACTCATGAAATTTCAATTAGCATTGGTAAATAATGAAAGTTTGCGTTGAGGTTCGCACTGAGATTCATTTACACTTTGCATCATCACTTCATCTGGAATTTGTCCGAGAACAGAAAAAAGAACTACCTACAGCAATATTGTTTGTTTACATACGATCTCCACAATAAATTATCAATACATTTTTGCCAAATACATCCTCTGAAACAATCTAGCCAAAATTTTGTCTGATATTTATTAATTAACAAAAAGTTACCAATGTCAGGGACCAATAAAATGGTATTTTGGAATCGTGAATATCACGAACCATTTGAGGATAAATTTTTTGCACAAAAATAAGTAAAAAGGTTTCTTTTCATTTTTTTCAAGGACCCGGAGTATTTGGGATTCAGTCTAAAAAACGAGTTTTTCATAAATTTTTAAGGTAACCCTTTCTTCATATTCTGTTTTTGTTTGTTTTTAATAAAAGACTACTTTTTCTGATGTAATTCAAATTTGTTCAATTATTTCAGGGGCGTTCTAAGGGGCTGATAATAATAGGAACAAATCTGTGACGCAATTGTTTCTCTAGTCAGAATACTTATTCAAGATTCAGCAATTCAAAATATAACTTTTTCGTGATATGATTTTTTTCCATATCTCTTTTCGAGAAATACTTATTCGTTTTACTAGGCAGAAAAGTAGTAGATTGACTGCTGCGGCTGATAGATTCAGCCACATTTGCTGCCGTGTGAAACATAGAATTTTTTCTCCATCATTTTGTGTTCACTCAATGTCAGTGTCAATTTTGATTACTAATTTCATTAGAATTCCGTTGCATAGCAACAAACTTTTACTAGGCAGTAAAAATACACCTTTTCTGCCTGATAAGCAGCAGGAAAAGGCCACTATCCCTGCCGCTTGGAGAAAATAGTTATTTATTATACAAGGGAAAAAAGTATGTAGTAGATTTTAGCTCCAGGTTATGTTGTCTCCCGACGCGTAGCGGAGGGAGAAAAAAAACCGTGGGCTAAAATCTAATATTTTTCCCATGTATAATATACTTTTTTTTCTGTGACAGAAGAAATGACGAATCAATATTGAGAAGATATTACATTATTTTGAAATCTGAAAATTATCGACGTGAAATTTTAAGTTTTTAACAGTAGGGACACCTGCGTTGTAGGCATCTTTATCATTCTTTTGAAGTAATCAAATATCTGATGTCACTTCTGTCAGTCTAATTCTGTGATTTGATTTCAAAAAATTGCGAATTTAGTGGTTGTTTAGTAATATACGTAACCGCGAAGTCGAATGGAAGATAAAAGGACTTGCAGTTCTTTCTCGGAAACGGTATTATTGACTCATTTTTCGGAACTATAGCACAACAAAAGCCATCAACAGTGTGTGTGTATATGTGATATATATCCGGAAAAAAAGTACTCACTTTTTTCCCACGGGAAAAAAAGTAATTTATGAAAAGTGACATTTTATAACCTGCCAACAGAGATGAAATGCCAAACTTTTTTCCCGTCACAGAAAAAATATATTTAATATGAACAAATTTCAATCGCAACAGAATATTCAGTTTATTATTGAAAACAAACCAAGCAAAATGAAAAAACTATTGGTATTCAAAAGTGAACAACCCTGAAGAATAAATAGGGTCAAGTCAGTGTGTTTTTAATTTTTCATAATGTCTTCAATTCCTTCATTATAGGGCGATAGGAAACTTATGTTACAGTTCTTATGTGTTTCTTAATTATAGGGACAGAAGAGCGATTGAATTCAACACGTGTGGCCTGTTCTTTCAAATACATTAACACTTGTTATACAAATATCATGGATTTATTATTGCTGCGCTTTTCAATTCGAAGATTTATGCATAGTAATGGAAATAGGATTAGATGTATTAATATAACAACGGGTTTTTGTGTAATTAGCATTATCCTATCAAATATAGGTTCCTACCCACTTTATAGTATTTAGTGAACTCGGATGTTATTTTAATTTGATCATTACTCTTTGTTCTATTCACAGCATTGACTATAAAACAGCTAATGTTATACAGGAAATGGAACTGATTCCGAATATCAATTAAATGATCATTTTGATAAATTTTGATAATTTACATTGTTCACTTCGGTATGCATCAAAATTATGAATGACTGTGTTTTCAAGTTTGAGAAAATGACCTAACGTAATAATTTTTCAATTAATTACTGGAACAAAAGTCCTTGAAAACTTCACAGTCGGGGATTCATGTTTACAGTAGAAAACAAAACTTGTTCTCTTCTTTTTATTTAACTCCGCTTTTCGAACAAACAATTATATTTGTTTGTATTTTAATTACCCCAGAGCATAGGTACATGGCAGATTGCAAGAGTTCGAATTACACAATATAACGTGATAATGAAGACCAAGCATATACAGGGTGTTCCTTAAATACATGCTGATATTCAAGGAGGTGATTTCTTAACCCATTTCAAGAAAAAAAACTCCCCACTAACGTATGTCCTAGAAGTCTTAACTTTTGAGATACAGGTTGATAAGATTTAAAAAAAACAGTTTTTTAATAATAACTGGGATAATATTGCAGACATCTTTATGAAATTTGGTAATTTCTTCTATGCATCAAGGTGCATTTTTTGATTTATACAAATTTTCCTTTTGTCTACCAGTTGGCGCCGAGGGAGATATGATTGTTTATATTATACTTGAAAGTGAGCAACGAAGGAATATTGCCTTAATTTAATACAATGCTATAAAGTCATTCAATTTTGTACAAAAAAAAAATCCCCTTGTTGATACCCGATAGGACATTCCGTTTTCGAGAAAAAACGAGAATATTAAGCATGTCATTAATGAACACCCTGTATACTCATGTTACCCTGTATAGTTGAATAATTGAATATGTTGATCTTGAATACGGTGAAAAGGTATAACGTATTCATAGAATTGATAAAATAATAAAAAATTAGATGTGCGATCGAAAAACAGAGTTTATTGAGTAAGGATTCATGTTTCTCGCATTTTAATCATATTATGTTAGGAATACACGATGCTTCCTTTTAACGTCTAATGTTTTTCTTATTAAGTGTTATTACTAATTGGCAAAACTTGTACCTAACGATTCTGATACAAATAAAAGTGCCACACTGAGTGCATAATTCATCATGTATATTTTCTCAATATTTCTTGAACACAATCAAGGTTGAAAACCAAATCCTCAAAAGTAGAACGCAGTTGAGAATAGTGGAACCTATAGCTTACAGTGAAATTCAAGGGCACCTCTGGTAGTTCACCATACTCAACATTTTTCCACTCTATTATTTTTCAGAATTATTGAATGTGCTACCTGATACGTTATGTTATGATTTACGGGCTCTGTGGCCGAGTTTGTCTATGCGCTGAAAATTTGTTTGTCTATGCGCTGAAATTCGCTAGATAGCCGTTCACGATGCAGAGGTACTGTCGGTTCGAATCCGGCTATCGGCTGAGCATTTTTCTTTAAAATGTGTGATTCATGGTTGTAATCCTGGCAGCACCTCGATGCCCTAGAAGTGGTTCGGATTCCACTATAAGCCGTAGGTCCCGCTCTTCCTAACCCCGCACAAGTTTCGACTTCTGGGGAGTTGGTTCCCAACTTTGAAGTAGCGATATACAAATTTTACAAAAAAATTTACGAAAATAAAACTGTGAGATTTAGGCACTTATGAGTACTTTTTTGTTAAAATGACGAATCTGCATTTATACCACGAAACAGATACCAAATTATGATTCATCATACCCAAACACGTTATTGATATGAAAAAATTTTAAAATTTCACCTTCGATATCCTGTATGTATGTTCAGTATTTCATCAAGGTAATTCAGCTCAAATCGTAAAATTAAGAAGTGAAAAATCTACTGTTGCAATTACTGAAGATTTACCCTGTATATAAATTTCAATTTGAACAATACAGAAGTCTTCAACTCATGTGAGAAGTATTCTGGCGTTTAAAATCGTTTGAGGTAAACGGGTAAGAATAACGTCACAGCAAACAAATCTGATTCATTCTTACTGAATACTTTTAATAAAAGAAATAGAATAAAATCTGAACATCATTTGATGACTGGTGAAGTGAGGAGTTCCTATTTTCATTATTATTATTATTATTATTATTGTTTCACTCCTAGTGTGAATTCTTGCTATCGATGTATCACGTCATCAGAAGCTAGAGCATTTGAGAGATGCCGATTTTTATTATTGAAAAAAGTGTTTATGATGATTTGAAATAACAAATTGTTTTTGTTCTAAAATTGTTCTATCGGTCATTCCGTTTCCCCCTTACGAGCAACCCTAAGAGGTCTTCAAGAGACTTGTGCCAACAAGGAATGACGGGGGCCTCACTTTTAACGTGTAAATACTATTTATGCATAGAAATATCAATATAAAATGAGTATGTGGCGTAAATTCGAGAAGTGTGTAATCAACAATTTTGGACAGAGAAAAGAAAAAAAAAATAATTTGATACTTAACTTAATTTTCCCGCTGCTCTCCACTTGGGGGTCAGGAAATACATTGAGAATTCGCATACTCTATGTGATGGAAATATTAATTCTTTATCGGTTTATTCAACAGAAAACAACTACTTTCCTGGCTATATGCCACGACGGAAATTGAATTATATCTATTGAACACACACGATTCAAGATAGCGGATCCACTATAGCGGACGAGCTTTATAATTATTATGATCCGATTCTATTTGAAATTGGTATCTGAAGATTTTTGGGGTTAGGAATTACGATTCTTTCGTCAAAATTGAGAAATTCAAGATGGCGGATCCAATATGGTGAAATGGAGAGTTTTCTAATTATGATCCGATTCTATTCAACATTTGTATCTGGGGGTTTTCGGGGTAGGAGATTATGATTCCTCCGTCATAATTAAAAAAGGCACTGTCTACACGACCGCCGCGGCGGTTGGATACTGAAACATAAACAACCGCCGGCGGTTACCTATTTTTATATAGAAGACCGCCGTGAGACATGAGGAAGGAAAATATCGTTTCTGCATCAAAAAGAAGACTACTTTTTTCAAACAAACTGACCTAACTCACATAAATGAACCTTTCTCCTGAGAAGTCTATTTTTCGAGAAATTATTTGTGAAAAAAAGTTTTGAAAAAATAAGGCCTAGTAGGGATTGAACCCGAGCCACAGGCGTGGTGGTCAGGTGAATTTTCAACTGAGCTATCGCTTTGCTCGGAAGTACTCTCTATGAAGAAGGAAGAAATATCATCGCGGCGGTTGTTTATGTATCAGTATCCAACCGCCGCGGCGGTCGTTTATGAATCAGCATCCAACCGCCGCGGCGGTCGTGTAGACAGTATCATTAAAAAACGCAAGATGGCAGATTCAATATTTCTAACAGCTTTGAAATAAATAGTTTTTTGAAAAACAAATGGAACATGCTTTTATAGATAGCCAAACTAAAGAGAAGTAGAAAATAAATGGTAGTTTAGGAAACTAAAGAGATATATTACCGAACTGAAAAGAAGTAGAAAATGGAATAATAAAAGTGTGTTGTTAAATATTCAACAAAATAAATATTTTCTAGAAATAATGTATAGGTACAGCACAACAACGTTTGCCGGGTCAGCTAGTTATCATTATCATCATTATCCATCAATCTTGTTTCAGATGATGATGATCATACTGGGATGCTTCACCATATGCTGGCTGCCGTACTTCGTGATAACGATACAGGAGCGGTCGATGAGAAACCTGGAATCGGCCACGCTTTACGAGATCTTCTTCAACCTGGCCATGGCCAACTCGTGCATGAACCCGCTGATATACGCGTGGAAGAACGCCAACTTCCGCAAGGCGTTCTGCAGCCTGGTGAGGTGTCGCACGCCTGACAGCCAACCGTTTATCACCAATCACGTGCCCAGCAAGAGCAACTCGCTGAACGGAGTGTTCAATTTGACGTGCCAAAGGGACACGTCGAGGACAGACTTGGAAGTTTCGGTCGGTGGGGACGAAGTGGACGAATCTAAGTGCGTGGATTCGGGAGTGAACGGCCTTTGATATGAATACCTCGGAACCAGTATCAAGACTATTCTCAAGAACCGTTCAAATGACTCGTGATAATATATCTTTAAATCTTAATTTTTTATATTTATTATGTATAGTCCTATGAATAGAAAAATGAAACACTCGTACGTGTATTCTTAATAAATAATGTAATGTAATGAAAAGCGATTAACTATTTACCAACATTCAATATTTCTCGAACCTTCTGTGAAAGAAGAATCATCATTACTTCTCCAAAGGAAATTTAAAAATAAATCCTCCTCGGGTCCTGATGAAGTTCCAATGTCCTTGGTCAAAAAAGCCCTTTGTCATATTATTGAACCTCTCACTTATCTAATAAATCTTTCATTTCTCACAGGCTCCTTTCCACATGAATTCATAGTTGGGAAAATTGTGTCCATTTATAAAAAATCTAACCAGTTATTAACACGTTGACTGCCATGTAGATCTATAGTACCGAGAAAAAAATATCCTGACGTGCCGCCTCGGTCTCATAGGAGCCTATGAGAACGAGTCATTTGAACGACTCGTTAAGCCGTCGGTCTAAATTATTGTCAATAATATCGCGGAGAATGACCAAGACGGCTTCAGTGACACCTTTGCATTGCAAAACCGAGTCGGCGTGGCAGGCAAATCAGTATGAACACAGAATGTTCGGTAGGCCGATACAGTAAAATAAACGTTTATTCAGTTGATGAACTGTAACATATTTTTTTTAGAAAATACAATCGAATATAAGTTTTCCCAGAATACGTAATCCATATTTCCTTAGAGAATTTGTTGTAACAATTCAGGCAAAATACATCAGGTTCCTCAGGACATACTTTACAGAAGGTGCGTATTATTTTCAAATTAGGGGCTGATATCTATCCTGATTCTTCCTTTATTAACATTTAGTGCAATGTCTTCGTTTTTCATACGGTCTCTGACTCAGAGAATTCTTATGATCTCGAAATCTGCTCATTTTCTAAACTAAACAAATATCACTTACACATCCACCGAACATCAAATGAACAATGAGCGGCTCAGGATACAAGTGACACATTCAAAAAGCAAGTGTAGTCAAGTATTTGGTATAGTACTAGACCACTAGACCGAGGCCGAAGTCGGCCGGACCAAGCTGCGGAACCGACGGGGCGTACACAGGTATACATATATATATACGAGTGCCGAGTCGGTCTATAAGACCGAGCATAATTCCCTTCTGCTTCTCAAAAATATGTGAGTATGGCTCCCTAGATAGATTTATGAGATTCATTGAAGAACATGATTTATTATTATCATCAAAGAGTCAACATAGCTTCTATCACAAAAGTTCGACTAATAGTACCACCTTTTCATCCTGATAAAAAGTTATTCTGTTTTTTGAAGCAGCAGAGTGTCCTATTGAAATCTTTTGTAATTTCAGCAAGGTATTCGACTGTGTTCAAGATAATATTCTTTTCTCGAAATTATATTAATATGGTGTGCCTGGGGTTGCTCTGAATTCAGTAAAGCCCATTCGAGCCGGCTTAATGTCAATCTGGGCGTTTCCCAGGGCTGTATTGAATCAAATTTTGTTTCTTTCTTAAATAAATGAGCTGGACACTCTAGCTACTGATGTCCAATTCGTCATATACGCCGATGATACGTCTGTACCGATATCAAATAAAGAAGAGGATTCTTTTAAAGAGAATTGTGAACAGTTACTGAATGACATCTACTCATGGTGCAGTGCAAATTTAACACAGAGAAAACCCACATAATGAGGTTTCATAATGCACAGAAAAACATTTCTGACCTAAATATTACAGTTAATAGTGAAATTTTTGACTGAAATAGATAAAGCAATTTTCATAGGCTTAAAAATTGATGTGTGAGTTGGAAATTTCACTGCAATAGCATTATTTCGAAGCAGAATTCATTTTGCTACATGTTTCGACATCTGCGTGGAGTATTGCCTGAAGAACAATAATTAATGATGTTATATAATGTCCCACGAACGCAGACTTTTTCTGATGGCCTAAGAAAGTGTTTGGGATCACACGTTAAATGGTAAGGCCCCCGTCATTCCTTGCTCGCACAAGACTTTCGAAGACTTCTGAGGGTTGCTCGTAAGGGGGCAACCGAATGACGGATAGAACATAATGCTCCAGTTGCCTCGAGAATACGTTATGATATTCTTCTTTGGGGTGGATCCACATTATCACATGATGTGTTTATTGCACAATAAAGGGTCCTCGGAATTATAGCAAAGATTCCAAAAGCATATTCTTGTAGAAACATGTTTACCAAATATAAACTTCTAGCTGTCGTGGGCATATCCATTTTTGAGTTGTGTCTCTATGTCTATCATAATATGAACGATTTTCCTTGAAATGGAAATGTATATGATATCAAAAATAATAATAATAATACTAATAATGTTTATTCAGCAGCCATCCGAAAATGGATATACACGTCAGTTATAAAAAAGTATTTTAAAAAAGTATGCAGCATAGGCAAAGACAATTTGAGTAAAAGAACACCAATTGACAATTTGGGGTGTACACACTACCAATTTAATACACTATGCCGTTATAGCAAGATAGATTCATAGTACTCATTTATGTTATAATAAGCGCCCTGAGCCAATTTGCGCTTTATGGACGATTTGGACTTGGTTAAATTCATTTCTCTGATTTCTTGAGGTAAATGATTGTAGAGTTTTATTCCCAAAGAGTCCGGGGATTTTTCAGTACGAGATAGATTGTGTCTAGTGATATCAAAATCATGAGCATTCCTGGTTATAGAATGTTTTAAAAACCTTTGCGAGTTGTTTTTTGAATAAAGGAGGGTTTTAAATATGAGAATAGATGGTAGGGTTAGGATATTATTATTTTTAGAGGCATGCCTGCATGTGTCACCATGTGGAATATTAATGATAAGTCTCATTATTCTTTTCTCTTCGATAAATACTTTCTTCCAGTTAACAGCGTTACCTCATAGACAGACATTGTATGAAAGATGACTATAAGCTAAAGAATAGTATACACTAATGAGAGTACTCAAATTCGATGTTTTTTTCAATTGCACAATGGCATAGAATGCTGAGCTGGGTTTTTTACTAATAAGATCTATGTGTTTGTCCCAGCTCACGAACTCATCTAAATGAACACCCAGAAATTTAATTTCTGATAGTAGGCGTAATGACGAATTGCATGTTCCATTCGTCAAATACAAGGTGAGTTCCAACTCTACGTCATACTTGGGACTGAGAGTATTCAATCATCTCCCGCGTGAGGTCGAAAATATGTTAGTTTGAAAAATTTCAAAATAGGTGGAAAGATCTACTCCTGAGAAATCACTTCTATGGCATCAAAGATACAAGAATTACCACAATGTGTTTGTATTGGATGGAAGGTGGAATATAATAGCGACTATATTGAACAAACCACGTTCATTTTTTTGGTAGATACCTGGTCAATTAGTCTAACCTCACATATTCTATTAGCTGATTTATTCCAAGCGAAATATATTATGGCTTTAGACAATTCAGGCTCAAGCTTCCCTCAAATGGGCTAGTGATAAAGACAGAATCACGCCCCAAGATTGAATAAGATAGAAACTATCTGCATCCTCTACTAAGGAGGAAGTTGTAACGATTGATGAGCTGACACTTGAATGAGACCGATCAAGGATATTTTTGTTCTCAAAATTAGTGCAGTTGAGTGGCTCCTACAATAGGTCTGATTCAGTGAAGATTTTTATTGTATACATTATTTTGAAGGACTAACCCAAACTAGTTCAGTGCCACAATCTGTTTTCTTCTCAAAGTGTACATTATTTAAATGGTCAACATTCATTCTCAGTGCATTTCCTATTCCAAAATTATTAGTGGCGCACCACAAAGAGTTTATGAAGTGAAAGAGGGCTTGATCACTGATAACATATTTCCCTGTATATTCTTAAAATTACTCGCCATACTGTATGATGTAAACCCTAAAACGAAACCTATGTTTCCTGTGTTATTGATATATTCCATTACATTTGAAAACATTCAAATGAGTGAAATAAAGGCTCCTGACGTCATAGCTCTATGAAAATCCATTGTATAAACTCATGAAATATAGTTATTTCATGATCAGCTTAAAAATTCATCAATAAATAGCTATCTCAGTTAATATTGTTCTCACAGAAAAGTTCAAATGAGCAAAAATTAAGTATTTTTAATGAGTATTCAGAATCAAGTACTAAAAAATGCAAAAAAGCATAGTAAACCTAAAAATTGTACATAAACTGGTATTTTTCAAATGAAACACCCTGTATTTTATTTTCCTTAACGGTAGAGCTGTTTTTTCTGATTTCAAATATATATACTTCATTGAGGTTATCTTTTGTCATTTTTCAAAAAATATAGATTTTTCGGTATAGATCTAAGGCAGGTGTTGAACGCCAGACGACAATGCTGCCATTTTTGGCTTTCTGCAGCCGCATAGTCTTATGATGCTTTTTTGCAATTTCTAGTAATATGTTCTGAATGCCCATGAAAAATACTCAATGTTTACCCATTTGAACGTTTCTGTAAGACTAATAATAACTGAGATAGCTATTGAGTAAAATATAAACAATCACCCTGGACGGCTGTAGGAGAAACGACAGGTAAAATTAACAACAGGTGAAGCTGTAGGAGAAACGACAGGTAAAATTAACAACAGGTGAAAACAACATAACTGGGTTCCACTCAAAAGAACATCATTCAAAGAACCAAACTTGGCTCACTTGCCAAAAGCAAAGCTGACAACTATACCACAGCCTCTATTTAAAGACCTAAAAGATCTCATAATCAATGTTTTGTTATAACCTGTATACTAGATGTGTTTACCCGACCGTGATAGAAATTAAGTACATATGTGGAATGAAACTTTATCACGATCCACTAAACAACCAAAGGCCAAGCCTATTTCAAATTAAAAACTATACAGAATACTTATATAACACGTTTCAGGATGCTATCTATTTTGTCAAATTCTACCTGACTATAATTATTCATTATCAGAACTTAATTTGTGGCCTAGTTGGTGGCCAAAGAAGCACATTTCAAATTGTTTCAGTTTAAGGTTTTGGAAATAAACCTAGTTTGAATTCCAACATCCATATGCATAATGTAAATGTTGTATAACTGAGCGTACATCCGAATCATTAGGTGACATACATTAATCATAACAAAAACTCACCTCAACTCCAGTCACTCCCAAAGCATCTTTGATATTCGGAGTCAGCCGGAACGGAACCTTCTCCGGCACTCGCAAAGTCTTTCCCTTCTCGAAACACACGTTATAGTCAATATGAACCACATCACCGCTGGACAAGTCCACCAACACATTGTCCAAATGTCTGTCGCCCAAACCGATAATATACCCGATGATGCTCATAACCGCCACCGAATAAGAGTACCGTTTGACAACCTGCCACCACCCGTCAGCACTAACGGAATTGCACCAGAACTCCTTGGACAGCAAGTCGCACGGAGTCTCTTCAATGAGCTCCGTCAAAACTTGCTTGAGCACGCTCAAGGGCCACTCTTTCCTATTATCGACGTTCTTCACCCCGTGCTCCAGAAGCAGCGGATTGAGTTTGCTGTAGAACACTTCCGAGGGCCTCAACACCCCACTAGTCGCCGTAGATTTCTTGGCCAGCTCGCGCTGTTGCCAGCGTTTGTACAGGGAGAACAGCGGCGTGGTGCCGTCCACCCAAGAGATCAGCCCCGATCTGGGGCCCAGAGGGATGACGGAATAGTGGCGGGCTTGGTAGAAGTTCGGCCCAGAGGGATCCGCGATCTGGGACATCATGGTGTTCGATATGTTCAGGAATTGCATGATGCGTTCGTCCAAATGGAGATCCTCGAGACCTTTGAAGAGGTAAGTGTAGGTCTGGCCGTCCGAGCCGTAGAACACCAGCTTCTTGGGTTTCGTTTTCGTTGGGAGGATTGATACTGTGTTGGAAATGTGCGAGATGGTTATGTTCTTCTTAGCTTTGGATGCTAGTCCAGGCATGGCGATAACTGTATCCTTCATAGCATGTAGGACGGGACTAATATCTTGCATTTTCAAAGAATACGATGCTCTCTTGTGGAACTTCTGCTGGAACTTCTTTTGTATTTGTTTCAAGGGCAAGAGAGACTGTTGCGGATTTTCTGGGTTATCCGGGGACTTTAATTTATTGATGACCTCTTTGATGTCCTCTAAATGCTTCTCTTGGAACTGTCTCTCATGTGGAGTATCTGCCTCTACGCTTGTAACATCGAGTAGTTGTTCTAGAACGAATATTAGTGGTTTTATGATGATGCGATGCTTCTCAGCAATCAAGGATGCTTTCTCTTCTTTATCCAAACTCGTGTTTTCGTTAACTTTTTCAATTTCGTATTCTAACTGTTGTTGCCTCTTATTTATTTCCGATTGGTGTTGTGCAAGAGTTCCCAGCCACAATTCATCCCAAAGCAATGTAATTCTTCGGAGTTCCTTGACCAACGTTTGAACCTAAATTAGAAACATGATTTTTTTAAAATTTGTTTGTTACTCTCGGGGCGCACGGAAGGAAATCCCTGTGTTCGGTAATAAATATTGAATATTGACAAGGGGCTGAAGGGAATATCAAGGAAACATTCTATAGGTAATGAATCATGAAGAAGCCTCCCCGAAAAACATTTCAATATTTCGAGTAGAGTTTTGAAACTGATCTTCGTAGCATATTAGGTTGATCATAGCCGACTCCATTCATCAAGCGCAGTTGGTGGATTTCAAGATCATCAGATGATGATGTGATGACATTTAGCAATAGGGAAACATGTCTGCCTCTCATTCTAAGCCAGGAGTTATGAATGTTTTCTCCATTGCTAAACGTCATCGCAACGTCAGATGATGATATATTACCTCCAGCGTGTAATGACCCTCGGCTGACGCCATCGGGCCATTATTCACGCCGCAGGCCATAAACGCCTTCATTACGCCCTTGATACATGAATAACTATTATAGGGTTGCAATGTTTCTACAGTTTTTCGGATGAATTAGTTCATTTATTGGTGCAGACAATAGTTTAGTGAAATCGTAAATTGTGAGACTTACAAAACAAAAAATGCGAGATTCTTCAATTATTTTTGTTATAGGCCTGTTGTGCTATTTATTCTCATACATTTAAAATTCAATAAGATAGATTTGAAGAAATATAAATTGAACGGCACCTTGAACTTCTTAAGGATTTATTTAAAAATGGCTAAATGTATGAAGCAGAGAATATCAATGCATGCATAAAAACTACTTTGTCAGATGGTACCTTGAATGAATCCCCTTGTCTGTCATCTTTTTCGGAATTGCAATAACACTTTTATCGTTTTCAATAATTAGGAATGCGCCTTAATCAAATTCATAAAGAAGAATTGATGGTTTGAGATTTTCAAAGATCTGATATCAAAAACATTTTCTGATTCAATTGGCAACACTAGATTTTCTGAAAAATCCAAATGATTGAAGCAAGGATTGTATTTTTTAATTCTGCTAATAGCATTTTATTGCTTATAATCATCTTCATAAAAATAACAAATTATTCGTAGAACAGTGAGCTAAATTTCAAAGAAATTAATTGGAATCTGAATTTCCATACAAAAATTGTCGGATTCTGAGAAATTGATTTGAATTAATAAATTATTGAATTTCTTGTTCTAAAATTGTTCTTATCCGTCATTCGGTTGCCCCCTTACGAACAACTCTCAGAAGTCTTCAAGAGACTTGTGCCAGCAAGGAATGACGGGGGCCTTACCTTTCAACGTGTGATTCCAAACACTTTCTTGGGCCATCAGAAAAATTGTAGCAATCGGGGATTTGAACCCACGATTGGCAAGTGAACGCGATAGAATACTAACGCTTCAATCACACGGCTGCCTGACCTGACCTGACCAAATAATAATTACAAATGACAGTTCCCGGCTTGATGAGTGGAGTCAGCTGTGGACAGGGGCGGCGAGTGCATGGGGGCATCGGGGCCAATGCACCCACGTAGACCATAGGTATGGGTGCAATGCACCCATTGGCCGAAACAAAGATGTACCTATGAAAAAATCGAATAAGAAACGAGCGCTTTTGGCACTTGTAAACATTGCACATTGCTGGACAAAGTGGACAAGTAGGTAGACAAAGACAACCATGCGTACCGTACATTCGATTCGCGATCGATGTGTAGGAAGGGGTTGGACAAAGCGACTCCTCGCTCAATCAGTGATGATCAGTGGGACTGGTGGGAATTAGTAGGTATCTATTTTTAGTGTGCAAGTGTGCACTGTGCAGTGTACCGCCAGGGCTCGCAAACGACTGAATGTGCTTTGCAAAGCGATTTAATACTGAATAACCTGTGTTGTTACATGTGAAAAATGGACAAATTTGTAAAAAGAATTGATTCTCCAAAAGATGATGATGCACAATCTGATGTCAGTGCGAGTAGTAGTACTACTGGCTCAGGTATGACATGGTGAAAATAAAATTTTTGATTAGAATAAACATGGAAATATGTTTTAGGAATTCAGAAAACGTTTAGCAGTAGGAAACGGAGATATGTTCCATCCTGGAGCGAAAAATATGATTGGATCCTGTATAATCAGACTGAAAAAAAGGTATTCTGTAAGATTTGTCAGAATGCATCAGATATTAAAAGTTATTTTATTTTTGTAGTCATGTTTTTACGTTTTCACATAATGTGTTAACTTTTGAGTTGTTTATGTTTTACAATAAAATTTGAAAAAAAAATTATTCCTTCATTTCTCACCTTTGTTTATGTTGATATTAACAACAGACCCGAAACCCGATTAGTCAAAAAACATTATATTCTAGTAGGGGTGTTTCACACGTAATGCAGAATCAATATTGCATCAAGCTATCTTCAAATTTGAAGGCATTTGACCTTGAGCCATAAAAATTTTTCGCCTGCGGCGCATTTTTTGTTGGCTTGCCCTAACCCCTCCATTTTGGCACCCATTGGGCAAAACAAAACTCGCCGCCCCTGGCTGTGGATTCAATTTATCTATGGCCACGTTAACTCCAAGTGGATATTTGGAATGCTCACTATATTAGTCTGGTACGCAATTATTTTGAGTACCAAACCAATCTAACCAAGAAAATGTAGTTATTATACAGGGTGACATTGAAATAAATACAAATATTTCAAAACCTAAGGGTAGGGACATGCCGAAGATACATGGATATGCGCGGTGGAGGTCGCGGTCGAAGTTCACATCGATGACGAGCAGAACATACCGAAGATGCCTTCCTTTCAGTGTTCTTTGCGGTTTCTGAGGTGACTGACACGTGTTTTAAAAATTTTGCTCTTGTAAATCATAGAACTATGTATACAGGGTGTCCCAGAAAAACGTTTGTATACTCCGGGAGGTAATTCTTCAGATGAAAATAAGAAAAAATGTTCCTATCAACATTTGTCCCAAAAAGCTTCCTAAGGGCGGTAGGTCCTCAAATACAGTTTTCTTCAATTATCTTCATTATCATGGATCTCATGATCACGAAATTTGGTACCTGAGGATGATACGATTTCACTAATAGTTTCGATGTACGAAAAACATGATTTAATATACAGGGAGGAGTGAAACTCATAACCAATGCTATAAAAATCCCATTTCTTCTACCAAAATATGATTCTCCAAACACTTTTATATGATAAAGGTATTCTCGCTAGAATGGTGTTGAACGAACCGTTTTCATTTTTCATTTTGATGTCCGAGAAAATTCACAATCATTTTGAGCGCGTGATGATAAACTTAGAACTTGATAATTAAAATTTCACATTTCCACTTAGTTTTGTTTTATTAGTTCATCATGATGTTGATTTGTTGAGAAAATATCTCTCTAGCTCTAGCGGCCTAAGGAAGCAATTTCGGAAACATGTTGATACGAACATGTTTTCTTATTTTCATCTGCAGGATCACCTCCCGGAGAATATGAGTTATTATGGGACAAACTGTACATAGAAGCAACAGTAGTGACGACAGTGATTTAAAAAACCTATTCAGAGATCTCCCTTGCCAGAACATGACTATTATGATGTTGTTTATGGCGATTATCCCATAAAGGCGGGACACAAAACACAAATCTATCAGCTCATTCTTAATTTTTCTGTATAAAATCACCGAACATTGACAAAACAAACAATCCAACCGTCTCGCAACCTGTTTGTAACAAGAAATTAATGAATAAATACCATCCGTATCGCAGGCGAATGTCACATGGTTTGAAAAACACCAATAACGTGGCAATTCACCACGCGATGAAAGGCTGAATAGCTCGATCGCAATGCAAAATAAACTATATTGTTCTGGCATCGACATCGCTGTAAACCGTGATGATAGGCAGCGAGGGTGAGCAGGTGAAACATCCTTGGTATGTGCGGTCTCCTAGGGATGAATGTGTTTGTTTCGACATCGATGTAGCTACCGCGACCGCCATACATCCATGTATCCTTGGCATGTCCGTACCCTTAAGAAGCTGGACGAATAGGTACTATTGAATGGCACCAATAAAATAATATAGGGATCAAAACAAAATTTGGGGTGAGACCCCTTTTTCCATCCAAAGTTTCAAATTGAAGCAATTCTGACGTCACCTTTGTATAAATTTAAAAGTGGAAGGCATAACCACGCATAGTTCAATTATTAAAATTGTCTTGAAGCGGGGTACTCGATTTTTTTCTGTTTTATATTCAATTTTCAAGTTGAAATTCCCGTTAAATAAAAGGGTAAGGAAAAATCTGACTATATCATATTGATTTGCTGAATTGATGTACTTATTTCAATAACACCTCGTATATTTAGTCAGCAAATCAAGACACAGCGAACATTGATTTTTTTGAAGTACTATCAAGCAGATCATAAAGTTATCAAAACATGTTTATTGATCACATTTGCAAGAAGTGTGAAAATGAAAACAGTGTTTTTGTTGTGTTGGATTATTTTCACTATTTCATGACATGTCCAGTGGAGGGGGGCGGAAGGGGGGCAAATGTTTATTAGTAGTATCATTTAAAGTAAACAGATGGAATCCTAAAACATTTTCATTCTGCTCTTTGTAGCTCTGCTAAAAGATCAAGGGGGTCAAATATACTAATAAACTATGTACCTTCATATCTGGCAAAAATATAAAACGAAATAGGAAAATATGTTTTGGTGAAAAAAAATACATGATGCGGATTCTGAAAAATAAATAAATAACCTACCTGGGCAATTGTTTCGGGATCTTGTTTACTCAAAGTATCCACCATTGTTTTGAAGCATATCTGCAAACTATTCGACGCCTCTTCAGTATCACTTTCATAATTATCTTCATCTTCATTCACCTCATTCTCCTCACCAGACTCATTATTCTGCGATAGGCAGTCCTTTGGTAAAGTAATCTCGGAGAAATCAAACTTCAGCCCCCCTTCCAGAGCCCCTACCACTGCCGGGAAAGTAATAAGATGGGGAGCATCTTCTGCCACTCTGCATAACAAGTCCGAAACCCGATGTCGAACGTAGCTTTCCGGATGATTCAGCCTTGAAAAAAGTTGTGGGATGATGGCCTTCCAAGGTTGGGTAGGGGTTTTCTGTAAGCCGTCTTCCAGAATATTCTGCAACTCTAGCGCATACTTCACCATCAATCTCAGTAGCCTCAGAGTCACTGTAATGGTGTTGCATTCAGAACTTCTGGTTATGTTCTCAGATTGCAACACCAGATGTAAATACTTGAAATACGAATCAGCACTCAAGGCGTAGTAGTGGTATATTCGTTTCTGGGTGCTCTTCCAAATCTGTACTAAACTTTGGAGTTGATGTTCAACGGCATTTTGCAGTATACCGACAGACTGCAGTTGGGACTGTATCATTTCTGATGTTCTGATCTCGTTCAAGTCGATGTCTTCCTCGTCAATGATATTGCGAGTTTGTGATAGGATCAAGAATATTTTTGCTAAATCTTCGTCGGAAGTGTCAGGTGGTAAGATTTTCTTTATTTTGAAACAATGGTCTTCGCTCAGATTGTTCTTGATGTCAGAGCTGTGATCGACAATTTTTTTGCCCCAGCGGTAGCACCAAGTACCAAAAACGTACCAACTCTTGGCAAGAGCTCCGTAATGGTGAACGCTGAATTGGAGAAGCTTTCCAATTGCAATTTCGTTCATGGGTATTATATTCGAAGCAATATTTTCCACCATACCGATTTCAGGTAAAACCATAATCAGTTTTCCCAAAGGACTACCCATTTCAGTTAGGGAGACATTGTCGTTAATCTGCATCCAACTTGCCAATTTCAGTAATATTTTGCTACTGATTTTGCGCAGTTCATTCACACCAAACAGCTCGGCGTATTTTGACATTGTCGTAGATGCTGCAGCGCATAAATTGAAGGTTTGTTGATTATTTTGTTCGTAACTGTATGATATTTTAATCATTTCAAAAACAGCCCTAGCAATATCTAATGACCACACGCCAGTATCTTGTATCTTTTGTATCAATAAAGTGGCCATCTCAGCTACGTTGTTTTCTCCACCTGTCACGAAATTTTTGTCACCGAAAAATTTATGTACATTCTTGATGGCCATGGTGAAATTTCGTTCTTTCCTAGCTCTTTTGATGATGTCCAAGCGCAAATTGCTGCAAAATATGTTGAAGCCTTGGTTTTGAATTTGTCCAAAGTATTCTGTCCACCAAAGTATTTTTCGAAGAACACATGAATCAATTCTATGTATTTCATTCTCGAAATTCTCTGATACCAAGAATACGGTGTTCGCCAAGTTATCTTGAGCAACGTGTTTCAGGCCATGAACTACATAATGCAATAGCGAATAGTACTGCAGGAATTCGGATGGAGCCAAGTGTACAAATTCTTCAATAGTGCTTCGAATTGTAGACATACTCTCATCGATTTTTGCAATACAGTCATTATCCTTTCCAGATGCTAGTTTCACAGCAATATTATATAGATTACTTTCAGTGGCTGCTGATCTTTCATAGATACTCCAACCAGTATTAATGTCACTTTTGTAATTCCACGAGGACAGCTCACTGAATGCGTGATTGCTCGATTCAATATCATGCAATATTTTATTGCATTCCCAATCTGTCACATTGAACCAGTATTTTCTTCTATTTTCAATGCTCTCTTGCTTCGAATGCCACTCAAATAAATCTATAAAGCAGCTCAATTCCTTGTAACAGATTATGATCTGATCCATTATGAAATTTTGTATGTCTACATCAAGCTTTTTATGTTCATCATTAGATTCCTTTTCATCTACATTCTCGTGTAGAATTTTTTTATACCCTTCAACTGCCAATTCGTATTTTTTTGATGCTTGTTCGGCCGCATGTTTGATCCAAGGAAATCTTTTCCCAACTGTAGTTTTACACCAAGTATACAGCCCTTGGAGTGCTTCAGGCTCCTTAAGGTGTAAGAGGGACAACGTCATCATCATTAGAACTCTCTCGAATTCGGGAGTGTTTGTCTTGCCAAGACCAACATATTCTTTCAGGAAACATTGTCCGTTTCTCAAAGCGATATTCACTTCCCCACAATGTAAGGCTGTGTGCATAACAACAATGCGAATTCTAGAGAACCACTCATTGCAGGTGTTTGTATTTGCAAAGAAAAAAGAACGAACAACTTTAGATGCTGGAGGCATAGCGGCTGCACAACCTTCTGATGCATTGTAAATAGCTTTTTCCATGTATTCTACGAAATTCAGTAACAGTCTGACTCGGTTTCCATTTCTTTCTGTGCCGTTTCCTTTCCTAGAAAATGGAGTGAAAAAGCAGAATATAATTTGTGGTATTACTAAAGGACTAAGATACATTTTTATATTCCGTGTACGTTCTGATTTTGCCAGGCGTTTTCTACTATCATTATTATCAAGCGTTCCATGTCTGGAATGCTTCAAGTCAATTTTTGAAATAAAAATCTCACTTCTCAACGAAAATTGGTATTAGCAAAGAAATCACATTATGTATACTGACACTAAGAATGCTAATGCCATTGACTGAAGGTATACAGATACAGATGTAGAAAGTAATTGCCAGCATATAGGATGTCCACTGCATTAGAACGATATGTCCTCGAACCAGTCGACCAGCACAAAGTTCAACAGATATACGCGATTGGTGATCAACCATTCAGCTATACCACTGTTCCCCTCTTGCAGACTGTTTGCGTCGATCACAATGTATGTGCAGTGTTCCGGTCTCAGCGATTTTGGCTATAAATCAAGCGTTTTCAGGTTAGGTCAAAGCGATATTCGAACTTGATTTGCGACGTGTGGAAATTTTATCATTTTTCACAGTTTAAGCGATTTTTTGTGAGGCTAATGTAAACGTCAGAAATATAAAGTTATTCACATTTTTGAAGTAATTTTTTGAAGATATTTTGATCATGTGAATCTGTGATGAGAATGACAATTATTGCATAAAACCAAATCTGGATGACTGAAAATGTCGCTAAATCACCAAAAAGTGGCTCACTAGCGACTCCTGGCGACTTTTCCCATGAATTCTTGCAAAATTTCATTCACAGCAACTGGCAACACTGTTTACGTGTCAGGCGTTAATCGTATCGTGGAATTAGTAAGCCTATAATGGTTGAGAATAATAGTATATTATGTAACAAGTGTTATAAACGTCCTTTTAGTAACGAGAATTTTAAGCACGAGCGGAGCAGAGCGGAGCGAGTGTTTAATAAACGAGTGTCTTAAAGAGTTTATAAACGCGTTACATACTATGATTTTTCTACGAACTCCTAAAATTACATTAACATACCTGCTATTCCGGCTAACCTACAAAATAATTCGAGAGGAATGGGAATTGAGAACATAATAGATGCAACGGATGCATGCAACCAGCGAGACACGTATAAGTGATAATGATTGTAGATGTGTCCAGTCCAATGCTTACTAACCTTTGTTTCACGTTTATTGTCATGCTTAGCGCAGAATGAATAAATTGTTCTCGAAGATGAATGCTTCATTTTTACACTTCTTGGAGATACGCAAGTACCATCTCTTCGATTTCACTTTCTTATTCTACATTTCGCATATATTTTTAATGAAGAATTCTAATACAAACGAATATTGTTTGAATAATTCTGATACAAAATTTGAAAATAACAGTTGACAGTTAATACAATTGACAGGCCAGACATGTCTCAAATTACTGAAGCTGTGTTTAATGAACTGCGTTGCCATGGTAATGTGTTCAAGAAATCGTGTTGCCATGGTAACGTGTTTAATATTTCGAATAAATCACAGATCGTCAATCCGTGATTAATCGATCATTTAGCGTGGTACATATCCGTACGCTAAATGCCATTTTAGTAATGTGAGTAGAAAAAATATCTTATCTCTTGCCAATTCTAAAAAGTTCACGTTCACCAGGGAAGAAAATATTCAAATTTTGAAATGATATTTTGTTATATTTTTATTACAGCAAATAATTTTGAGCGTGCATTGGAACGTCGTAATCTCAACTGATAAGTCAGATAATTGATACATGCTAACTCATCACATAACATCTTCATAATGAGGAGTGAGTCTGCTTCTTGCTAGAAGCGGGGATGCGTTCTAGCTACAAAGTAGGGACGAATTAATGTAGTTTAGTTGGGTAGGTATTTGATTATTGATCGCGTGCATCTGTTAAATTTTGAGCTTCTAATGCATTAAAAATCCTATATGATGCAAGTTTTTTCTACATCTGTATAAGCAGATTAGGTTGATCGTCAATACGCGTGTGAGGACACAACATTAACAGTGAAAGAAAAAAATGTATTTCGGAACTTCATAAAATATTTCAGGATTGCCGTTTCTTTGCCGGTGAGTGTAGATAAGATAGAATATTTTTTCAGAATCGAATGTATTTATTGGTGAATTAATGATGTTTCAATTCAATTTCATTTGGATTTATTTAAAAACAGCTATTGTTATTTTTACTCACTTGTCATATTTTTTCAGTGTTATCAGATCATTTCCCACTTGATTGAGTGCGCCCTCAATCTTCATGAAAGTCTCGTTTGGTTTACCCAAAGGCGTCCTCAACTTGTAATTGACACAAAATTCAGCTGCTTCCAGTGTCATCCAATTATACAGTAGTTGTCGATTGTTCAGTGCCAAATCGTAGAACAACTCCATGTTCATCTGAGAGTCTGATCCGACGGACCAACAACAAGTGAATAAATCCTCCATCCAAGTAGAATCCAGCTTTTCCCTATCCAGCAAATACTTCATGAATATCTTGAAATGAATTGGATACATTTCCCCTTCTATGGTTCCGTTGAGGTGAAAGTGTTGAGTTAAACGAACAGTATAGTTGTTGTAATCCCTCATGACGCTGTGTTTTTTTTTCGCCAAGTTGGTCGAGTTGATCTTATTGAGTTCTACTACCGCAACATCCCAAGGAATTTTCGTGGAAAGTGTCGAATAGCATTCTCTTATCGATGCTTTATTTGAATTCATGTGCAATTTACATAAATCGCATATGTTTGCCAAAAAAATATTCGACCATGACAACTGCTTGTTTGACAGAAGTTTGTCTAGGTTGTGATGTACAGACAATACGATACTTTCGTTAAAATTATACCCACACTGCAATAGAGCATCGACTAGTCTTAGAAACTTTTCGTGGACGTATAAATTTCCCAAATACATTTCTGAATGTATCAATACGTCGTTTAACCATTGAAGTAAGAGCAGAGTTATTTCTGGTGATGTTTCGACAGAGAGGGCTCTATGAAGTATATCTAGTATTATTGCAAAATTTCCAGAATTCGGTGATGTACTGGGAACGTCGTTGATGTTCAATCCTTCAGTTAGAGCAAACCTGAAATTTGTAAATTGTATTATTATTGAAAGAAAAACATAATACAAGGATTATTGAAAAAAAAAACATTATACAAGGTGACTTATATCGACATTTGAAAAAAAAGATCTACAATTCCTTCACGAGGAAAGCACTGGCGAAAATTTAGAGGAATTCGAGGACCTCATGATATTATATTTTGAATTGAATGTATGAAGATATACTTCTAGCCAGTCATGTTGATTACTTGTGTTTAAATTCTGCGTTCTACGCACGCTTAAAGGTTGTCGTATGGATATGGAAATATCCCATTTCTCTTAACAAGACATGCAGAAATATGCTGATTCATTCCAGATTTCCCGTAAATACGATTCATATACGGCCAGCAGCTACCTGACATCGAAACAAACAAGGAATCTTTATTATTATCCTTGTTTTTACACATATCTACGAATATGATGTACTCATTGTTCAAAAAAACCATATTCCTACCAACAAAAACCCACTTCTTGAGAACCCTTTAGCTCAGAAATTCACACACCACTATCAGTCGAAAATGCTGCCGTGAGTGCCGTGTCACTCACGATCACATCGACAATCGACACATCATCAGTATTTTTACAACTACTGCTCAGCCGTATTTCTTTCATTTAGTGAATTGACATAGATCAATGATAGTGGGTACAGATGACAGCAGACTTACAGCAGAAAATGTATAATGATTCCGTGCGCACATTGAGACGCAGGCAACACAGGTGGCGCAGTACAGCACAGGCAACACGTGTCTGAGCGCACATTGAAAGGCAGCTTTTCGCAAACTGCTTCTTACATTGAAGGTTTAGGTTAGTAATGTATGAACTTATGGACTTATCATCAGCATGGAAAGCTGATTCAGAGATGGATAATATGGCATGAATGTGCGATAGTTTGATAAGAGAGAAATCGTTTTGGAAAAGCGAGTACATGAAGGAAAGAAATCCTCATGGAGAGTTCCAGTGAACAACCGAATTTTCAGACACCCGATTTACAAACTATTGTCGGTTCATCATCTTCATATTTGATATATCGCGAACTGGAACCTTTGGCACGATAATACACTACAATGTTTTACCACTAACCAAACCGATTTTTCAAACGCCTCGACACGTGTTTCGCTAACTATGTTAGCATCTTCAGGAGAAGATTGAGTCTTCTTAATCTTCTCCTGAAGACCATGTAGTGAAGTTGAGTAAAAAAGTTGCTTCAGGTTGTTATGCTCTGAGAATCATTTCTGATGAGTTGGGGTATGGCATTGCTTTCTGGAGAGTTTGTTCAAGAGAGCTTTTGGATATGATTTTTGTTCTTCAGAAAAGGGCAATACGGTATATTTGCAACGCAAAAGTGAGGGCAAACCACTATTCAAGGCACATAATATCTTGACAGTAATTTCCATGTTCATCCTGAAATCAGTATGTCTGATAATGAAGCATAAATCCTCTATCGCCAGGCATGTATCTTCTTATATTACCCGTCGGCCCATCTGCAACTTAGATCTGCCAATTCCAAATAGTTCGCTAGTTAAGGATTCGATGAATTTTAATGGAATCAAAATGTTCAATCACTCGCCGATACATATAAAACAAATTGAGAAACAAAAGGCATTCAGAATTTCTGTGAATAGGTTGCTTGTTGAAAAGACCCATTATTCTTTACAGGATTTTTTTTACGATAAGCTTAAGGGATAATTAACTCCAGCTGATATTTTTACAATGATGTTATATATGTTATGTTTTGTCATAAGTATGTTGAGTTATGCTGTACGTCCATATCTACAAACTCATGTATCCACCTGTCAAGCACCCATAAGCAACGCGCACGGTAAAGACTATAGGAAGCTATATGAAGGGTTGGAAAGCGACCCCATCATGGGGATGCCAACGGATGGCATAATTCCAAAATATAGCTTTGAAAAAACTTTTAAAATAAGTATAACGGACAGAGAGGCATGGAAGGAAGGACCTCCTATCAATGCAGACATTGCTGTCTATACGGACGGCTCCAAAACTGATGAAGGATCAGGAGCTGGTATTTATGGGGCCAAGCCAAAGACAAGAATCTCACTGAGCTTAGGCAAATACGCGACGGTGTTTCAGGCAGAAATTATTGCAATACATCATTGCGTGAAAGAATTGATAAGGCAAGAGTTTAAAGGCAAAACCATTGCAATCTATTCAGATAGCCAGGCGGCAATCAAAGCAGTCAACTCTATGCAAGTTAAGTCAAAACTAGTATGGGGCTGCTTAGAAACCCTAAATGCACTGGGCAGTCAGAACAGATTGACTCTAGCATGGGTACCAGCACATACAGGGTACGAGGGAAATGAAGAGGCAGACTCACTTGCCCGAGCAGGAGCAAACAAAGCTCTTAATGGCCCAGAACCCTTCTGTGGTATTGCGAAAGCTATACAAAAGACTAGTATCAAATCATGGATGCAAACCAAATCTCAAGAATGGTGGAACAACTCGCCAGGAATGAGACAGACTAAAGAGTTTATTAAAAAACCATCGCCAACATTCACAGAATATCTACTAAGCCAGAAACGAAGTTCAACTAGAATACTAGTGGGACTTCTCACAGGGCATTGTAGGCTCAAGAAACACATGAGAACGATAGATCTGACTGAATAACTGCTGTGCAGGTTCTGTCAAGAAGAGGAAGAAACAGCAGTACACATACTTTGCCACTGTGAGGGCTTGTCAAGACTAAGGTTCCTTACGCTGGGTGAGGAAAAACCAGGAGCCCAGAGATACACAGGAGATCTGAAAGCTAGCCTATGGAGTCTCATAGAGAAGGCGGGGCTACCCGAAGAACTCTAATCGATTTTGAGGGCAGACACAATAGATCTGAAAAGGTCGCAGTGTGGAGGCAGATAGCCCGAAGGCCCCATTCCAAATCCAATCCAAATCTAATCCACCTGTTCTTGTTTTGGTTGACTGGCTTGTACATTCCCAAATGTGCAATACATATTATTATTATTAATTTCATTATGTTCAATCCTACACATTCCTACTCTTATTTCATTTATATCTGTTTTATGTACAGTGATATAATATGAGTGCATGTATTTCCATTAAATAACTTATGTACCTTCATGTTGTTGATCATTTAAATTGTCTGCATATCTGTATTCCAAGGAGTTCAACCTCAACCTTGACTGTGAAATTTTTCATTCCACTTCATTTATTGTATTCATTTATTTATCATGCTTTGTCAATAAGAATGTGTGTCTTTGACAATAAAGTATATTTTTGATTGATTGATTGATAGATATTATAATGCCTGCCAAAAACCAGACATTTATGATACAAACCAGGATTATTCAAAGCTTAGCTACTATACATAAAAATTAATTTCTCACCTGCTCATCATGTTTGCAATTTCTTGTTTGTTATTCACAAGACTGCTGTTCGATATGAAGTGATTGTAGCACTTGCAGTGGGAGAACAATAAATAGAGTAAACAGTACTGCAACGTAGGAGCTACTTTAGCCAAATTCTTGTCATATGGCACCATGTACACCCCAACCAGTTCTAGAATGCTGGGTTTCAGAGCCCACATCACTATAATAGAGCTAGCATTCGCCAGCTGCGTAAGACATCGCAGCAGAAAGAGTACAGTTTCCTCTGCCGCAGGTCCGGTAGATACAGTGAACGGGTTGCTTTGGGTGAAAGGGGGCACATCCTTTACGATTTCCTTGTACGCCAATTCCAGATCGCCCAAAACGTATCTGTAGGCCTCTTGCAATAGAGAAACGTTCTTCAAGTTCAGCAGGGATTGATAGACACAGACCACTGCGTCTTGTATATCCATGGATGGTGAATGCCGCAGTCTCATGATATCCGATTTTGGGCCGATCAGCTTCTCTATCAGTTCTATAGGTAAATTAGCGGAGAGTTCTTTTATTACTTTCGATAACAGTATCAGCAAAGATATAACTGTGGAGTCGGATAGATCATGCAGCATGGACATTTCTAGGTCAATCAGCTTGTAAATCTGGTTAGAGAGCGTTTGTGATTTGTTATCAAGGTATCCCAATAATAGTGCAATGCAATCGTTCGCAGCTATGGTCAAATTGTCAGGGACATACGTGTCCAGTGCTTCCGTAACAGTATTGATTATTCTCGAGACTGAAGAGTTGACGAATTCCATTTTAACATAATTGTTCTTGGACGGATGAAATTTACTTCCCAAACATTTCAACACTGTATTCATTGCCAGGATTAGAACTGTAACGTGTTCTAAAGCACTCATTTCGCCAGTTTCACTCAATTGAGTTGAAAAATTTGTGATATCTTCCAAAAAATTTTCTATCAATTGAACAGAAAAATCTAGATAGTATTTGAAGTGATGTGAAATTTTTTGCAAACTTCTCGATATGAATTCGATATTACTCAAAGGTTGAGTGTGATCAACGTGCCATCCAAATAATAAATCTATGGTATCTCTGAACTGCTCATAAAACTCATTTTGATACATTTCCACGACATTAACGAGTACCTCCAATACAGCTTTGAATACTTCGGCATTTTCAGTTGTCTCAATAGCAGCTACTAAATTGTTGATGATACTCTCAATGTGCGCCTGTAATACAGGTTTTTTCTCTTCAAGAACAAATGTTTCTTGCAAGCTCTTCATCAACAAGATTTGCATTTCTTCGTAGTTCGTAGTCATTTTGTTGAACAGCCACAACTGGTACCTTTCAAAGTCATTTTCCTGACCCATTATGTAACCCATGCGACCCAAGGCCCTAGCTGCCTGCTTTTTTGCCATAGGACCAGGAGATACGAGAAGTATTTCGAACATAGACTCGCCGAGTATATGGAACGCTTTCCGAACATAGTGGGCATTATCAGATATCAATAAAACTTCCAGTAACTTTTTTGATATAGCTAATGAATTATCTGGGTCCGTTTCAATGTTCAACTTGCGGAGAAGTTTTGATATTCTTGTGTCTTCTGGAAGGTTTAATTTGATCTCGTTTTTTTTATCCGGTTCGTAGAATTTACTACGTGTTCCACCTGAAAACACAAGAAATATAAATTATTTGAAGTGTGAGATCAAGAGAAATAAATAAGAATATGAAAATTCACTAACACCAATAGAAGATTTGATAATTTTGATAATCTGGATGCAGCAAGAACACTTTATTTATCTTTTGTTAGATCAACTCTTGAAAACGGCAATGATTCTGAGTTTCCTTGTTTATGATTCTAGCGAGTTCACCGTATATTTTTTAGATACATTGCTTTTTCATATTTCGGAGCGTACGAAAAGGAATCTCTATTATATTAGTAGAACAGCGTGCTTACATAGGGTGGATAAGGGGTGGAGGTTTCATGTTCTTTGGTAATATCCCTGGGCAAAGAATACCAAGGCTTTGCCGTTTTATAGAAATTGAGTTTTGGTATAGAGTTGTTTGCCACATTTTGAGGTTAACATGAATGTCGAGATTTCTGAAGAACGTTTCCCGTGAAAGTAAACTGCTGATCAAATGAACCGAATCAAGCCCATTTTTGCACAAAATTCAATATCGAATATTTTTGCGAAAATTTCAGATATCCGGATGCGGTTTTTTATAATTTTAAAGATAAATTCATTGGGTATATGACATCTGGCTATTCAGGGTGACAAACAAACCTCTGCTGAATATTGAAAACTTCTGTATGCTCCCAAATTTAATGGAACATTTCCTGGATTTGTTTCAATTATATTTTAATAATACTCACGCATATTCCTCGAAATGGTTTTCAGGTTTTCAAAAAAATTATGTTTTTCCGAAAAATGTGATTTCGTATTTCTGACCAGAAATATTCTATTTTGTATCTCTATTTTCAGAGATTCTTTCTTGGATGGGTTATCGTGACATATACTTGTATGAAATCTTTTATTATTTATATACAGTATCAGTTATATGGGAATTATTCGCGAAAATCACGAACCAATAGATGGCTCTATTAAACGTCAAATCAACGTCAAATTTCAAACTGAGTATGAACAATAAAAACATTGCCGTATGCACTCATTGCAAATTGGTTACTTCGAAATCATTTTGCAAAATAGTGAATAATGAGTTGACTTCGTGAAGTACGTACAAGGTTTCCAGCATGGAAAAAATTACTTTTTGTGCAGAGAAATTGCCATTTTGATGTGGACAATGGTGGTATTCATCATTGATATCACACTACAATTCCACAGTTTTCAAACATATGGAATGGTCGGAATGGTCCACTCAACACTTGCATGGACTGGAATGGAGCCATATAAGCAATCAGCTATTACAACAATATGGTATAGGTATGAAGAAATAATTTAATTCATCAAGAAATATCACTGGCTTTTATGAAGGAGATTGAAGTCTAGTGGAGGGGCTGGGAAAAGAAGATATGGTTGGAGAGGCTGCTCAGAATGAACAATATCATCGATTTACATAAACAAGGATCTCCAGCAATTGAAGACTTGAAGTTATTCTCAAGATCGAATCATTGCAACCAACATTTATACAAGGATTCTAACTGTGTTTCAGTAAATGTATATTATATTATTATTAAGTTCTGGAATATGCACTTCAACAAATAAATTATTTTCAAATAAACCACAGAAACTCAAAACAATGGTCGCCATATTTGTTGTTCATACTCGCAAGACTTGTAAAGTTAGCCACCAGAGGCCGCACACTTCGTGATTTTCGCGAATATCTCTCAGAAACAGGTTATATGACTCTATTCGAATGAACTCATTTCAGATTTCAAACCCTCCTCAGTAACCTGAGTTCCAGTTATTCTTTCAGCCATTCTTCATGATATACACAATTTTCATCTCTCTATAATATAACTGAATAGTTAGTGGATAAACAAAATTTTAGATTTTCATCATACAAGGTGTTGGAGATAATAGTACAAAATCATTCTCCGAGGCCCCCCTTTGAGGGGCTGTATCTTTCTCGGGGGGCACTTCAGAAAAACATGTTACAGAGGTTTTCGTAACTATTTCACCCACTCTATATGCTCCCAAAGTTTGACGAAGTTGACGATAAATGGAAAACTTATTTATTATCAATTTTAGGAAAAAAAGTAATTCTTTATTGAAAATTCGTAGAAACGTAAATCCAAATATCAGATTTTTTTTTCATTCGTATACGAGGTATGTCAAAAAGTATTAATTGGGTTCAAGAGTGAAGTATGTTTAGTTTATCCAAAAACAAAATTTTCTCAGTCGTATACGAGGTATGTAAAAAACTATGAATTTTGTTCAAAGTTAATAATAATACCTGATTTTCATCGTAGATAGATGTATTTATGGTGATATTCGTTGTCAATTTTAGTAAACTTTCCTCAATAATAATTTCCGATATTGTCGAAAATAAAAGTGGGTACTTTACTCTTACATTAGGTAGTATTTTAGGAAGTAAGAGTATTGTGGCTAAATTTGATCGATGTAACCTCATTATTGAAATAGATAATACTATAATTAGTTATGTAAATCAAATAAAATATCTGGCCCCCCAACTAAATTTTTCGAAACATATTGATTCCCTCTGTAAGAAAATTGGCAAAAAAGTCGGGTATTTCTATAGAGGAATCTTTTCTTATGGCGCAGAAAAACTGTGTACAATACAATCATATTTCCACATTTCAATTATTGTATGTCAATATTTATTTCTTGTTCAGATGAACATATTTATCGGCTGCAATTGCTTCAAAGAGTTCATAATCTCCCATAATCTCTATGTTAGAAACTCTAAATTTCTTGAATAATCGTCAACTTATTACTGAGTCATACTTGGTGATATTATATAAAATTGTAAATAAGTAAGCTCCTGTATATTTAAGAGATTATCTTAAAAGATCTGAATTGGTAGATTATAAATTGAGATTTATTTATTTATTTATTTATTTAATAAACGGATTCACCATTACAATAGTTAATTATTACAGATTGACATGATGGCATAAGAACAATAATATAGCATTGATATTGATTGAAATTTCAAATTTGAACTATATGGTTTGGTTTGAAGGATACAAAACAAAATTCCTGTATTAACCAACCTTTAGAAATTAACACTAAAGTATAGATTAATTGTGGATCGAGCCAGGATCAACTATACAAATTTTATTTTTAAAATCAGTTAAGGAATGGACAAATGGATCAATGTTTAATATGTTGAAATTACGCAAAATACGTGATAATGGGCTGAAGAACCCATAATTAGTTCTATGAGTTTTTATAGTAAAAAGATCAGTGTTTCTAGTGAAATATGATGGAACATTGAAGTTTATCATATTGAGAAGATCGCAACAATCAATCACACCTGAGATAATCTTGAACATGGTGATACTATCGAGCCGAAAGCGTCTGATAGATAGGTTGGTTAAGTTGAGGGCATTGAGAGTATCTGTATAATTGAAATTGTTGTAAGTTCCCATTTTATAAGAAATGTGCTTGGCAAATCTCATTTGGACTTGTTCAATTAGTGTGATATCACAGTTATAATGTGGCGACCAGATTATGCAACCATAGTCTAATAAGGAACGTACAAGAGAGCAGTATAAAGTATTAACTGTGTTACAAGAAAAATGTTTTGTATTACGCATTAGAAAACCTACCATTTTATTAGCAGATGCTGATACTTTCAGTAGTTGACTCTTGAAGGTGAGACGCTCATCAAAGATGATTCCAAGATCTTTAATTTCAGTTACTTTTTCAAGGATCGTATTGTTAATATTGTAGTTATATGAGGAAGCATTAAATGAGCGGGAGAACGATATTGTAAAACATTTATCAGTATTTAAAGCAAGACTGTTTTGAACGCACCATAAATGAAGGTTATCAAGGTCGTTTTGAAGAGTTTGACTGTCTAGGATATCATCAACAACGAGAAACAACTTCAAGTCATCAGCAAATAATAAAAAGTTTGCACTTTTGATTACATCAGAGATATCATTTATGAATAAATTGAAGAGTAAAGGTCCACAGTGAGAGCCCTGAGGGACACCCGAAGTAACCATAATTTCGTTAGATATATAATTGTTGATTTTAACTCTTTGAGAGCGGCCAGTGAGGAAGCTGCGCAGCCATTTCACAATATTATCCGCAAAGCCAAGGGAGTGAAGTTTCTCTAAAAGTATCTTGTGGTCCACTCTATCAAATGCCTTGGAGAAGTCTGTGTAAATTGCGTCAACTTGCTCACCCTTCTCCAAGGCATGTAACAGAAATGTCTGATAAGACAGCAAGTTGGTTACCGTTGATCTTCCTGAACAAAAACCATGTTGCTGAGGTATTATAATATTCTTGCAGGACCATGTTAATTTGGCAGTGACGAGTTTATCTAATAGTTTTGGCAAAGTAGACTGTATACAAATACCTCGGTAATTTTTGATGGATTCACGATCCCCTGACTTAAAAATTGGAGTGACAAAACTGTTTTTCCAGAAATCTGGAAAATTACAAGAATCCAGAGATAAGTTAAATAAATATAGAATGGGATTAGCTAATGTACAATTACATATTTTTAATAGTACTGGAGGGATACCATCAGGGCCACTGGAATACTTATTCTTCAAACTCTGAATACCCTCAAAAACCTCAATTAAGCTTAAATGGAGAGTATTGATGTCAACTAGATTTTTGTTTTGAAATGTAGGCACATTACTATCCTTATCAGAATAGACAGTTGAGAAATATTCAGCAAAAAGATTTATGATATCAGAGCCATTTGTACAAGTAGTATTATTGAGATGCATAGTGTTTGGGTAAGAACTAGATTTACGTAAATTATTCATATACTTCCAAAAACTGTTAGAGTCATTTTGAATATTCCTTTCTGTATAACTCAGATAACTGAGGTAACATTGTTCATTTAATGTTTTACATTGTGCACGAAGTGTACAGAATTCTTGATAATAATCAAATGAGTTTCTATCTTTATATTTCTTATGAGCAATCTTTTTCTTGAATATAAGATTTTTTAGTTCAGGTGTAAACCACACTGGGAAGTTTGATGATTTGAATGTTTTTA